GGGAATGTTTCTTGTTGTAAGGATTTGTTCCCTCTTTTGAGTCACTGCATCCATAGGTGTAGGTCAAGTTCATCAGATTGTATCAGATCACCCTTTTTTTCCTCTTCTTTCTTCTCCTGGTTGAGCTCTGATCATCCAGTCATCTGGGCCAGGTCATGTGGGAACCATCTGCAAGTGTTGCACATTACTTTCGAACTTAACTTTTTCCTCAGGATCTATCAGACTTAGTCCCCAAAGCCTCTCATTATCAGATGATGAAGTGGCCTTTGTTGTTTTTAGATTGAAACTCCCATGATGAACGTCATCCCCGGGGGAGCAGTGGCCAAGCCTTTCATCACCTACCACAATGAGCTCGACATGAATTTATACATGAGAATTGCTCCAGAGCTCTACCATAAGGTAATCAATAACGCACTTTCCCCTTAGAGAAGCAGAAACCTGGAACCCCATTGGCTAGACAGGGGCAGTAAGAAACAAGGGCACGTGAGGTTAGAACCACTAGGAAAATAATTCTAACACGTCCGCAATGTGAGTATCCCACTCCTAGAATTTCTCCACCATTCATTTCAGGGCCGAGAATAAAGGGATTCTTTGCTAGATATACAGGTACTCCTGACCTACTCTTGTTCCCATATGCTTTTAATTTTTATCCTCTTTTTTGGGGGGATTTGATTTTTTTTTCATCTTTTGTAAAGAAATACTAATCTCTGGAGTTTGAAACTGTTTATCTTCAAATTGCCAGGCTAAATACTGAGTGCTGTGTTGTTCCAAATTTAGTTAGAAATAACAGAACATACTGTAGCTAGTGGGAGCAAAAGAAAAATGTATTAATGTAAAAAAACTCACAGTCTCCAGGAGGGTAAGAGAATCTGGCTTAGAGTCCATGCGACGAGGAATAATCTTGATCATGCTGGACCATGTCCCATAATAACTTAGTGTCACTTCCACTAAGCATTGTGACCCTGGCACTAGGACGTCTGCTTCCACTAAGCATAGTCCACCCTGGCACTTGGTACTCCCTCTAAAAGCTAGATCACTCTGGTCCCCTTGGCCAGAATACATTCTCTGCATATCTGCGTCATCTTTCAGTGTTGAAAGTCTCATCTAGTGGATGGAACATGGGCCGTATGCCTTTATTTTAACCCCAAATAAGCCTCTCTCTTCTGTGGAGGCATAACACCATAAACTTAAGAGAATCCCACAAAAAGAATGATAAGCTATTCAAGACCGGGGCTTAGAGCATGCTTCTAGGGATTTGGGGTAGAGACCTGAGAAAGTTCCTGGACTTTGAAACCAAATTGGGTCTCTTGTAGATAGAAAATTCCAGGGTTCTTAAAACAAGTCTAGCTGCCATGACCATGGTCCTGTGTTGTTAGATGCTGGTGGTTGGTGGCCTAGACCGGGTTTATGAAATCGGACGTCAGTTCCGGAACGAAGGAATTGACCTGACTCACAACCCCGAGTTCACCACTTGTGAATTCTACATGGCCTACGCCGACTATCATGATCTCATGGAAATCACAGAGAAGATGGTTTCAGGTGACCCTCCCCCTCGTGTCTCCCTTTATCTTTTACACAGTTCTGGGGGCTGCTTTCAGAGGAGGGCTTGCTGTCGCGGCTCCTTAACCTCTCAGGTTTCTCTTGCAGGGATGGTGAAGCATATCACCGGTAGTTACAAGGTCACCTACCACCCAGAGGGCCCAGAGGGTCCAGCCTATGAGATTGACTTCAGCCCACCCTTCCGAAGGATCAGCATGGTGGATGAGCTGGAGAGAGCCCTGGGGGTCAAGCTGCCAGAAAGGAACCGCTTTGAGACAGAAGGTGAAGCCCCCCCCAGCCCTCCATTCTGTGGCCTCCCTTCCTGGTCATATCTGAGTATGGATGGGTCACAACCAGAGTGTCCCACACACGTCACTCTTTCTTTATAAACTTTATTTTTCCCGGGATAGTGTGGCGTCTTCTTTCCTAACTCTTGTACATTTGTGTTACAGAAACTCGCAAAATCCTTGATGATATCTGCATAGCTAAAGGTGTTGAATGCCCTCCCCCTCGGACCACAGCCAGGCTCCTTGATAAGGTGAGAGGCCAAGCTCCTGGGGCACTTTGTTCTCCGACAGTGGGACTGGCTCCCTGTTCCCCAAGAAAACGAACGCCACGGAGAGAATTAGCAAGTTGGGCCTCTGTCGACAGGATGGTGCAGAATCTCACTTAATCCTTACCAGCCGCTAAAAAAGGTTCCAAAGCGCCATAATGTGCCCTCGGGAGGTGCTATGGGCTAATGCAAAGTCATTTGGACTGCAAGGTCGGTGGTTCAAGCTTACCAGCTGCTCCTCAGAATCCCTGTACCAGGGTCGCTATGGGTCAGAACCGATTCAACAACAAAGCTCCATAAGGCCGGGAGCTGAGTTCTCATCTGCTGAGCCTGGGACCATCAAAATATTACTCAAACTGGAAGGAGATTTCTCGTGTGTCTTCTAGCTCTGCTTTGCTTTTTCCTTAAGCTTGTTGGTGATTTCCTGGAAGTGACTTGCATCAATCCCACGTTCATCTGTGACCACCCTCAGATAATGAGCCCTTTGGCCAAATGGTGAGATAAAGCCTGGGGTTTCCATCACTTGTTGCTGAGTAACATCAACAAATCTTAGTGGCATAAAGCAGATTTATTCATTCTCAAGACGTTGTGGAGAGATTGTGTGGTCTTTCCATTCATTTGGGGTTGGCCAGGGTGACTTGTGGCTTTTTCATTTGCTAAGAGTGCGTTTAAGGGTGGTGCCTTGGTGTGGTGGGTTAAATATTGCGCTGCATGGGGGCATATCGACACAAGGTCACTGTAGTTTGGTCTGGGTTTAGGAGTGTGCATTCAGGCTTCATGTCACTCTTCGGTAACACTTCTGAGTCATCACAAGCCTGGGAGTTCTTGTGTTACATTAGGACTCTGGACATTTGGCACCCCCTTTGCTCTCCTGTTCCCAGGCACCGCTCTAAAGAGGGTCTGACGGAGCGCTTTGAGCTCTTTGTCATGAAGAAGGAAATATGTAATGCCTACACTGAGCTGAACGACCCCGTGCGGCAGCGGCAGCTCTTTGAAGAACAGGCCAAGGTAGGGAAGGGCAGTGGGAGCAAAGGCAAGTCTTTCCCATATGCACCTGCTGACCAGTAAGCGTCCACTTCCTCCCTGCTCCCGTCTGTGTCATTGGCTGCATCACTTGATGGCGCTACAGAAACCAAGGGTAAAGCCATGCCCTCCTCTAGAGAAAGGAGATTGTATTTTTAGGGCTGCCATAATAAAATGCCCCAAGTTAGGCGACTTCAGCCACAGAAATGTATTCTCTGTTAGTGTGGAGGCTGGAAGTGGGTTCCTTCTGAGGGATATAAGAGGGAAGCTTCCGTCCCTTTCTCCCAGCTTTTATCAGGACACCAGTCATGCAGCTGAGGATGACCTCATGTTAACGCAGCTGAATGCAGCCTCAAGCCCTCTATTTCTAAACAGGGTCACTCGCACTGCTGTAGGCTATGGGACTTCAAAATACCCTTTGGGGCACACAGTTCAGTCAGGAACAGACCTGGAAAGGTTTTGGCTGTAGGGTATCTAAAGAGGCCTGCTACCTTTTTTGGGAGCCTGACACTTAGCTTGTGAACACTTCTGTATATCAAGAGCAGAATTTCTCTAATTGTGCTCTACTTCGATGGAAAAGACTAAAGCCCCCACAAGCTGCCTTGTGGCACTGTCGCTGCTGCTATGGGTGCCATCAGGAAACGGGGGAGACTCTAGAAATCATCAGAGACTGAACATGAGTCTGCTGAGAAATGTGAATAAGCTTTGAGAAAGAGTTTATCAACGTTGATCCTCAAGTCTTTGAAAGGAATGGCGCCCTCTGGAGTTCCTGGGAAACCAGTTTCCACCCAGCCCTATGTAGCTGAGCACCCCAAGAGACAGTGCAGCCTAGGATCATGTAATCTTTGGTTCTCTCTCCTCTCCTCTCCAGGCCAAGGCTGCTGGTGATGATGAGGCCATGTTCATAGACGACAACTTCTGTACTGCTCTGGAATACGGCCTTCCCCCAACAGCTGGCTGGGGCATGGGCATCGACCGTGTCACCATGTTCCTCACAGACTCCAATAACATCAAGGTACATAGCAGCCTCCACAGCACCACTGACAGAGACGAAGGAAGGGCTCCTGGGGGCTCCACGGGCGGAGGGTAAACCTGTGACCCTTAGGGACTCTGTTTGTACCTGCCTGAGCAGAAGGAATAGTAATTGTTTGTATTTCTTGAGGAAACATGCTAAGCCCTTTACATGCCTTGTTTAGTTCTGTGTAGTGTAGACTCTTGTTGAGTCTGTTTTGTAAATGAGGAAATGTTAGTTTTAGTCAGGTGTTTGACACAGAGGGCCTTGGGGGGTGCTGCTCATGGCTTCTTTTACGTTGTCTGTAGTGGAGAAGGGAACACATTGCCTGTTTTAGAAGAGGATACAGATCTCTGCGTTTGGTGGTGGTAATAACCAGACTAAAGGAGTTGGTAGGAGTCCTGGTGTGGCACTGCGGATTAATGTGCTGGACTGCAAAGTTGGGTTGAACTGCAAGGTTGGCAGTTCAAGCTCACCAGCTGCTACTTGGAAACCCTATACAGGGTCTCTATGGGTCAAAACTGACTCAACAGCATTTAACAACAACAGAGGAGTTGGTGGAAACCTTCAATGTGCGTCTTTGCTTCACGATGCCTGTTTCTCTCCTGTAGGAAGTGCTTCTGTTTCCTGCTATGAAACCCGAAGACAAGAAGGAGAACATAGTCACTGGCGAGCCCCAGGCGAGCACCACTGTTGGCACTTCTGTCTAGGAAATGGTGATCGCAAGTCATGTGACTCAGGCATCTTTGCATTTGCAAAAAGATCCAGGTCTTCAAGGGAACTCGGTATGCTGCACTCCATTTGGTGCCCACAGTTCAGCTCATACACCGGAATCAAGAGAAGATGGATTAAGAATTCCTCTTTACACCTTAGCAAATAAACCACTTTGTCTGTACCCATGTTTTTCCTCTGCTCTTCTCTTTACCTTTGGGTTGTAACTTTGTTCCAGAGTGCTGACCTTCAGACAGTGTGTGTTAATGCCTGAGACGTAGCAGAAATTATTCTAAGGGACTGGGACACAGCAGTAAACAAAGCCAAGTCCCTGCTTTCATGACATTTAATTCTTATTTGGGAGTTGAGGAGACAAGGATGGATAAATAAATACATAAATCATATTTCTGGTGCTGATACATTCCAGGAAGAAAAATAAAGCAAGGTAAGGGACCTGGGGTGCTGGTCTAGAAAGAGGCCTCCTGCTAGGTGACATTTCAGTAAAGAATTGGAGACCTTGATTGTTTGCGTTCAAACCCAGAAAGGAAAAATGCTTCCATGTGGGTGTTTGCTGACCAGGAAACAGTCAAAGAGACCTTGGCTTATCACAGAAAATAGTGACTTACAGATGGAGACTTAGTGACCACAGACAAGAACACTGGCTGCCCACTGCACAGTCACGATTTTCAAGGGGGGAGGGGTGTGATTTGTGGATCCCTTTTATACCATGTGGTAAAACAAGCCTCATATTCCAGTAAAGGGAAGGGGGCAGTATGAGGAGAGTCCTCTATCTCCAGCCGAGACAAGGGGAGAAACAGCCGAGTACCAGCTGCTTGCTACTTCCTAGTAGATCTATAGTTTTAGTGTGCAGCGGCAGGATATATGTTAGTGGGGGCGAGGAAATGATGACATTTTTGGCGGCATTGGAGCCAAGGTAACACTTGCATGCCTATATCTTGCCCTAGTCTCCAAGTGGGGGCACACGGGACACAATTTGCCATTTCCAGGGAAGAGTAACAATGGAACTCTCAGGGTTAGGTCCTGGGGCAAGGACAACAACAGATTGTTGGAATCCCCAGGCACTGGTCACAGTGTGGAGACTTGAATCCTTAATGTCTTCTGTGGTCCCTGGGTTAGTGATGGATAAGCACTGGGTCGTGTCAATTACATTGCTGTATCTTAAGAGTTTTGGGAGTCCTTTAGTCCATTGCTGTAAGGAGTGGGTGTCACTTGCTCCAAAATCCCATTCATTGACTACCAGTCCAGCTGCAGTTGGGTTCTATGGGGAGAGGGAAATGCCGAACAGCACCCAACCTGTTTGTCCAGTCTTGAACTTGATGTCCTTTTTCTTGGATGTAGCCACTTGGCCACGTCCTCTGCAGGTGCCTGTTGTATGTCACTCAGCTTGGACGGTTCATCAGCTTACATGTTTCCCAATGGGGAGAGGGCTATGATCCAACACATGAGAAACTCCAATGTTCACACACCCTGTGTCCAAGCCCAGATACCTTTCCACAGCTCCATTCACCAGAAGGGTCACTGGTTAACCAACCTTGCTCTTTCCCCTGTGTTGGTAAGTGCCCTTGAGTCACCATAGTAACACTGTATAAAGTTTCTCAGGAGCAGCTGGTGAGCTTGAACCGCCAACCTTGCAGTTCAAACTGACTTTGCAGTCCAGCGCATTAAGCCACAGTGCTGCACCCACCAGGACTCCTTCACCTGTGTTAGCCATAATGGTGGTCTTCTGTAATAATGTTAGCCCAGCCGTCCATGCACAGGACTATGGGACTGGGCTTGTCCTTTAGTACCATCCAAGCGGCTCTCAACTCAGCCCACTGACTACTCTGCCCGGTGCCTTGGTTAATACGCATAACTTCCGTGGCTGGTTGTATGTCCACAGATGTCCAGCACCAGTCCAAGAATCCAGTGTAGCTCAACCTTCAAGGGGCTGGGTGAGAGGATACTTCTCTGTTGGAAATATACATGCCATTTGGCCAATGCGCTGGACTGGGCCACCCCTGACTGAGGCTTGGCAAAGTCCTTGACCCCATCTTTGGATGGTGTAGTGCATTTCTCCTATTACAGGGGTCCCTTTTGTGATGTCTTCTACAAATTGCAAACTGTTGGATACAGCACAAAGTTGCTTTTCTAGACGCATGTATCAAGTTTCTGCACCTTTCCACAGCTGAGGCCAGAATCTAACGGAAACATTGCCCCTGTTATTGTAACAACAAGACCCAACCATTTCCTTTCAGATAACTGGCAAAGTCCAATTCATACTCCTGACCAACTGCTATAGCCCCAAGGTCTGTACTTGCTGAACTGCAATCATGGTAACATTGAATGCCCGTCCTGTCTCAGGGGTCCAGTCCCAAATCGTCCTCCTTTCTACGAGGTGATATAATGGGTGCAAGATCTCGGCCAAGTGGGGAATAAAGGTCCTCCAGTATCCCAATGGAGTCCTGGTGTGGTGCTGTGGTTAATGGTCGGCAGTTCAAACGCACCGACCATTCCTTGGAAACCTTATCCAGGGTCACTGTGGGTTGGAACTGACTGGACAGCACTTAACAACGACAATACCCCAATATTCCCAAGAATGTTTGCAACTCCTTTACTTTGGTAGGGCAGGGGAATGCTTTCACCTTATCAATGATGGCTTTGGAAACTTTTTGCCTTACCTGATCACTCAACACCCAAGAATTTGACAGATGACCCAGGGCCTTGCAGTTTGGCATTGTTGATTGTCCATGCTTGTGAACTTAGATGTGTTACTAATTGTGGTACTACTTGTTGGAGTAAGGAGAATCACCAGTTAACATAACATCATCAATGAGTGGAGCATATGAACACCTGGGGGCTTGGCCCACTTCCCGAGGTCCTGAGCAACCAATCCATGAATCACGGTATACTTGGCCCCGGTATCTACTAATGCTAAAACAATCTGCTTGTTCTCGGGAGGCCCAGGAATGATTAGCTCTATGTATTGGACACAAGGGGGAACCTTGTCTCCACCTCTAATCCAGAGGTGCTAGCATTTTCCATGGTGAGGGTACACTAAGGGCCGTATGCACCTGAGGATCTTTTCCTTTAACAAACTGTTGCTCTGGGTGGAACATGTGCGATAGCTTTACTAGCACTGCATTTAGCTGCTTTTCTGCTTTCTCTCAGGAAGTGCCAGCAGTAAGCAAATCTGTTCCTGATTGTTTCTTAGTGACCCGGACAGGACTCTCTGCCTTCTGTCTTACCTGCTCACTCCCCTCCCCCTGCAGTGCAGAGGGTCCATCAGCGGAGTTTCTCAGTCTCTCCCAGATCTGCTATAACCTGAGAAGCCCTGGACATTAGCTGTCCCCGCCATGGGGCTTAATATAGACAGCAGCGGTCCACACCACTGGTTAGGAGCTGATTGTAAAATAGCATCTTTCATACCAGCTGTGAGCAGCTCATTATTAGAACTCTGATAATGTTCTGTACACATAAATGAGCTTCGTCCCCAGCTCTCTAAACACTTCCTGCAATTCCTCTGTAGTTGTCCGACATGTGGGGAAGGCTGTCTCCCTCATTCGACCAGGCAGTCTTACAGGCAGTTGTAATCCAGACAAAAATTACAGAGCGCTGTCTGGGCCTCATTCACTGCAGCATAGAGATGCTGCGCAGCACGGGGTAAATGGTAACAGAGGCCACTTTGGACATTTCAAGGCCAGCGAGTACTGTTCTCTCTACCCCCATGTCCCACATATCCCACAGCAGAGGAGCCAAGCAGCAACACACTCCCTCCCCTTTTGCCAATCTAACACCACTGGCTCAGCACAGTGTAGACAGTGTAGTCCCACATAGTAACGTGCTGCTCAGGGGTCAGCAAATTGGCAGAAGGGGCTGGTCTGTTTTAGTCTTGGTAACTAGGACTGGTCATGCTTCTAAGTGGTGGTGGTGATGATTATGTGCCGTGGAGTTGGTTCCGACTCATAGGGACCCTGTATAGAGTTTCCGAGGCTGTAAACTTTTGTTGTTGTTGTTGTTAAGAGCCTTCGAGTCGGTTCCGACCCATAGCAACCCTGTACAGGGTTTCCGAGGCTGTAAATCTTTACAGAAGCAGAAAGCCTCATCTTTCTCCCACGAAACAGCTGGTAGTTTCGAACTGCTGGTCTTAAGGTTCGCAGCCCGATTCGTAACCACTACACTACCAGAGCTCCTTTACAGGAGCAAAACGCCTCATCTTTCTCCTATGGAATGGCTGTTAGTTTCAAACTTCTGCCCATGAGATTAGCAGCCCAATTTGTAACCGCTATGCTGCCAGAGCTCCTTGCTTCTAAGCGGAGAACCTCTATTTTCTCCCCGTAATCCTCTTCCTCTGACTTGGTCAAGGATTCCAGTAGGTGCCATTGTTTGGGATCCGGAACTGTCTTAATGATTATGGTGCATACTCACTAACAGGGTGAGCACGGCCCTAGGCTGTCAGGTTTCTGTGGAGGAATCTGATGTTTGGAGGCAGGTGACCAGGGCCTGAATGGTGCTGGCCTGCACTGCTTGTGCCTCTCTGTCCAAATGCAATTCATTGTTCAGCCTTCCAGCTCCCAGTAGTGCAGCCACTTCCACGTAGGTAGCAGTTTCCACAGCACATAGGAGGGGCCAGGCTACAGAGGCAACCAGTACCCTAGTGTCCTTCTTAGCCTTATATATCCCAACTTCACGCAGGAGTTCCAACAATGTTTGCAGTGTTTTCTCTGGTCCCCATATTTCTAACAACTGTGCCATAGGACCACACTTGGAGGCCAACGGTCATCCCAAAATTACCCCCTGGGAATCCCTTTTCCCTCACAACTCATCTTGGAAGTCTTGGATTTTTCTGGTTTCCTGGCTGGCTCACCAATTGTTTAGATTCAAAACCAGGAGGAAAAATCCTTCCATGTGGGTATTCGTTGAGAGACTGAAAAAGTGACCAGGAGATAGTTTGACAGACGTTGGTTTATTACAGAAAAAGATGGTTTACAAACAGGGAAACTTACTGACCAGAAATGAGAACAGCAGCTGTTTCCAGGAACAGCCTAATGGACAGTCAAGACTTTCGGAGGGGAAAGGGGTATGGCTTGTAGGTTCCTTTTATACCATGTGGTAAACAAGCCTCGTATTCCAGGAAAGAAGGGCGCAGTGGTATGAAGAGAGTCTGTTTTCA